AGTTGATTATGTTATTTTTCGTTTTGATATTTTTCCAATAGAATGCATACGGTAACTGAATCTTGAATTCAAATTCTATTGGGATTCCAATTCTGTTGGAATGAAATATGTATATTTATTATAGTTTTTATTCTCTTAGAAACCGAACACAGGAGGTATAGCCTCCCGTATAACCCATTCACTTTGCAAACTTTATTAATTAAAATGAACCCTCATCTATGAACTTTTCATCCAATTGCTTTTTGATTTTCATTTTGAATCAGGAATTCCAATTCTGTTGGAATAGAATATGGATTAATTGTTTTATTCTATTTAGTGCACTAAATTTTTTAATATTTTGAAAGTTGATTATGTTTTCCTTGTGAATTTAGGTTTTGAAGATGTTGCCATTAATGTGGAAAATGAAGAAAACATGGAGAATGATATTTGTATTCTAACAGAATGTATTCTGTCAGAATTTATAAATTGTTTCTTAGAAATAATATTCTTTCGAAATATTATTATTAGTCATAATTTTTTTAGAATGATTGTAATAATTCTTTATAGTCTTTTTCTTTACCGATGAATGTAAATAGTGATTCTTAAAAAATAAAATATGTATTCTTTAGAAAATGTTATTCTTGATAATATCTTGTATAATTCTTTAAGCATATTTAATATAAAAAGTATATTAAATGAAACAATATTCTGGAAGAATAAAACCGTAATATGTTTATTAGTTTATTGTTGACTTTTTTGTCATTCTGACAGAATAAAATCAGTTATTATTAAAAGTAATATTAAATTTTGAATTAGAATTAATTTAAAAAAATCTTATTAAAAGTAATATTAAAATTTGAATTAGAATTAATTTAAAAAATTCTGATTTTTTAAAAATAAGGGAATTAATGATCCCTTAAAATCCGAAAATTTCCTTTTTTAAAGTAGGTTAATTGACCAAAATACCCTTTTACTAAAATTTGTATGATGATAGGATACATGCTACCCTATTGTAATATCATAGACTATCATATCATGATTGTTGATTCTATTCATCCAGTGGTCCAGATCTGTGCATTCTGGCACACAATAGTTACTACAAACAATATAACCTAACCCTATATATATATATATATATATATATATATATATATATATATATATATATATATATATATATATATATATATCAAACGGTTCGGTTCGGTTATCCGCGGATACCTAAGTATCCAAACCAAAACCGACCCGTTGATATCCGGTTTTTTCGGTTTCGGGTTTTTTATGTTTCAGTTTCGGTTTTTTTCGGTTTCGGAATGGCCAGTTCAACTCGGTTTTTCGGTTTTGCGGTTTTTTTGCACACCCCTAATTCATACTAGCATGCAGTTCATAAAGTTGATACACATATAACAGTCACATAAGGCATCCTTCCTAGATTCTTAGTCCTAATCTAGCATGCTGTTATAAAAAACTGATAAAAATATCATAACATAAACTTGTATGTGTAATTTGGGAGTAGTTACTTAAGCTCGGCTGATTGCATGCACCACACCCTTTTCTCTTGTTCAAAACCCTTTTCTTTTTACTTTTTCTAAAATTATTTTCTTTTCTGAAGAATCCTTTATACAAATGGTTTTTCGTTTGAAAATTCTATACCAATTCCTTAGTTTGAGTTCAAACACAACCGCAAGTTTGCCCGAATCCCTCAAACCAAGGCTCTGATACCAACTTGAAACATCCCAAAAATACAGTCCAAAAATTTCGTTTTTAAATCATTATTAAAATCATAAATATCATTACCATAATATAAAATCATAAACCATGTATCTCAAAATATCATAATATCTATCAACATATCAAATATTAGAGTAAATCTCCCAGTCTAGAAAATTGTGGTGTGTGTCATGCGATCATCCCGAGCACTTCCCTTTGCTAGCTGAAGTACCTAAAACCAAACTGAAAACTATAAGAACGAAGCTTAGTAAGCTCCCCCAAACTACAACATACCATACAATAACACATAATAACACATATTGGGCCTTGCCCACTGCATCGGACCCCGCCCGACATCGGACGAATCCGGCATCGGGCCCCGCCCGACATTAGACCGAAGTCCGATATATATATATATATATATATATATATATATATATATATATATATATCATAACAACAACATGTAACATATAAACATATAAACATATAACATATAACATGTAAATCTTCCTCGGGCTTGCCCCGATATCGGACCGAAGTCTGAAACACATAACACATAACATATAAGCTATATCTTCATCGGGCTTGCCCCGACATCGGACCGATGTATGGAACACACATACAATACATGCAAGAATCACGAAGACATTAAGCATACAACATTCCTCGGGGTTGCCCCGACATCGGATCGAGGTCCGGTACATATAAGCTACATCGGACTAACCCCAGCATTGAGCCTAAGCCTGGCATATACTAACATACATAAACGGGTCAGCATTGGTACCTTCGACCCATTCCTATTGGAGGAAAACTCACCTTGCAAAGCTGTCTGTAAAATCTCGCAGTGAGGAATATCTGGTAGTTGCTCCAAAGACTCCCCGACTATAAAATCACAATAATACTTAGTCAAGATCCGATAATCCTTCATAGGATAAAATGACCAATTTACCTTTAGTCAAAATGAACGCTCTAGTCAAAGTCAAAGCTAGGGTCAACTCCCAGTCAATCCAACTCGTTGAGTTCGATTGTAACATCTGTTATGTTTTCTTCAGTATATGTATTTTTCTCTGGGACTCGATGAGTTGGATGATCAACTCGTCGATTAGGTACGTGGCTGCGGACATTCTAAGTAACTGACTCGACGAGTCGGGAGACTGACTCGGCGAGTAGGTGTTGGTTAAGTGAAACCCTAAATCTGAGGGTTTGCACCCTATATAAACAACTTAACTCAGCCTCCCTTGTCCTTAACACTATCTTGAAAGTTTCATATCGAACCCTAGCTGTTTGTGTGTGAGTTAAGGCCATTTTTGGTGTTCTTGTGTGGATTGTAAAGCTTGGAAGGAAGAAAGGAGCTTGGAAATCGAGTTGGGGCTTGTAGATCCGGAGATCTTACTTCATTTTCAGCAGCTTCAAGGTATAATGCCCCTGTCTTGACTCATCTATGTGTTTATTCATCTTTAGCTTGGGATCTCTATGGATTTCTAAGTCATTTTTCGGATTTGGAAGTGTTGAGTGAGTTTTGACTTCAAATCTGGGCCTTAAGAGGGGTCTCATCGCATAAAGGTGCCAACTTTAGGGCCATGAGAGCCCCATGCACATTGTAGGACACTTTATATGGATTTTTGAGCTAAAAACCCATGCATGTGCATCAAGTTTGGAACTTTACGTATAAAATGGACATTAGGAGGCCATATCTATGGTTTTGGTGTGTTAGACCTCATTTAAATTGATTGTAAAGATACCGATAAAGGTTACCAGTTGAAAGATACCGATGAAGGTGACCGATTGAAAGATACCGACGATATTGTATGGTATGTGGTATGATGGGGGAACTCACTAAGCTTCGTGCTTACAGTTTTGGTTTTGGTTTCAGGTACCTCTTCATCGAAGGGGAAAGAGCCGACGGTGTAGCAGCGCATCACACACACACATGTTTCCGCAAGACGTTTTTGGGACTATACTCTGATTTTCAATACTTATGATGTTATGGTTTGAAATACAACATTATGATTTTGTAATGGATGTTTTATTGACAACATTTTGGTAAAATGTTTGTTAAATGCTTTAATTCAAAAATGAAATTTGTGGCCTTGAAAATTGGGTAGTTACATCTATTCTATCCAGTTTCATGATAACTAAGTTAACGCGTCGAGTCCCTTCACAGACTCATCGAGTTCCATCTTGTACAGAATCGGGACAAAACGAGTCAACTCGTCGAGTCCCTTCATAGACTCGACGAGCTCTTTAGTTTCCTAGTCTTAATTACGTCCATCTAGCTGAATCACTTCCTAACTCAACGAGTTCACTCAAAATCAGAGAATTTTGGGGGAACCACGACTCGACTCACTAAGTTGTACGAACAACTCGTCGAGTCCCCCAAATGACAAATCCATAAATCCGACTTTAATCAGTTTCAACGCTTCTAACTCACATATATGGACTATTAGGCTAGCATTACATGTAAAGTTGCTAACTTTACGTGCATGCATGGTGTTATGATGCTAAAACACCAATATCAAACAAAATTAGAGGTCTACATCATCGATTAGGGTCATGGCTGAATAAAGGTGGAAACTTTAAGCTTTTAAAGCTCAAGAGTGCCCAGATCTGGAGTCCTTACTTCACCAAGAGTTCAAATCTCAAAAATGACCTTGGAAATGGTCCAAAAGTGACAACATGCAAGCCTAGAATAAGATGTAAGTGAAAAGAAGCCAATGTATAAGCTTTATACCTCCAAAGGGTCTGAAATGCAACACAAGCTCTGGATCTACTACCTCTTCTTGAATCACCAAGGGTTTCCTTCCTTCTTCTAGCTTCAAATGGAAAGAAAAAGCTTAAGAACACTCAAGGGATGATTAGGGTTTTGAGAGTAAGATGTGGAGGTGATGGAGGCTGGGGTGGAGGCCTGATATGATGCTTAAATAGGGTGCAAACCCTAAAGATTAGGCTTTCCTCCTGATAGGCTTACTCGTCGAGTAGGCCACTTAAATTTCGCGTCCAAACTAGCATCTACTCGACGAGTTAGGGCTACTAACCTGTTGAGTAGCTCTTACAAAATAAATACTAAAATAAATTAAATGTGTTCCAGGAACGGGACGTTACAATTTGATAACTATACATTAATACTGTAAAGTGAAAACGAAGTATTACATAATTGCTAATTTCAAGTATTTCAATAAAGTAGACAGATAATGGAAATTTGAAACAACCTAACCTAATAATAGGACTGAGAGTAGATACTTGTTTCATTATATTGATGCTATTAGAAAAGGGGTCGCCGATAGAGAAGGTATGACCACAAAAAGTCAATGTCGACACCAGTGGGTGGTGTTGGGTCAAGACCTACGTAATAGGATCGATTTTTTTTAATGTTTGATGCTTTCCTTCATCTAATTTTAGCAAACAAACAATATGGATTGGACATTTGGGCTTCTTATTTCATTTTATTAACTTGAGATTAAATGTGAGCTTAAATTTCACTATCGACGTACATTATGGGCAACATTAAACATTTAGTTTGAGACATTTTGTGTTTTGATTTATAAGTTAAGAGTAACCTAATTGTTTTAGGGGTAGTCTATAATTTTTTTTAAGGTAACACCGTAATTAAAATAAAATAGAAAAAAAAATCCAAAAAAACATGTACTACTGGATGAATTTTGAGGGGTATCCTAAGCTCTGTCTATGCTTGAAGGGGATGACCACAATGGCTTGAAGGGGATGACTACAATGGCTTGAAGAGATCGACCATAGTGATTTGCACGTGACAACATGATAGGAGAGAGATCCACAATGATAAGTGTTCATCTTCTTAAAAACATCCTAACCTTTATGAAATAAATGTTAGGATATTTTTAGGAAGATGAGGTGCGGGTAGGTGCAGGTGGTGGGTTTATTTGGGTCTAAGAATAATAACAATTATGAAAATAAAGGTAATTTTGTTGTTGTATTGGGTTAACGGCAAAAAATTAAACTCTAACAAAATATTCAACAAATAAAATCTTTAGGAACGTTATAAGTCGATGAAAAACAAAATAGAGATGAAATATGTAGATTGACCTAAACAACAGAGACAATTTGTGTAATTTAATCCAAAAATCCTATAATAGTATTAAATTTTAAAGAAGCTATGCATTAAACTTATAATTTTAAAAGGAAAATAAAATTTTATTCACAAGTTTTGAAATAAAAACTCTTCTGCAATAGTTTCTTATACTTTTACTTATTTGATACTAGTTTTTCACAAAAGAAAAAAAAATGTCGATTTAGGATGCTCTAAATTCTTATATGAGAACCTATAGCTTTTACTTTTACTCTTTTTATTTCTTTACAACCACCAAAAAGATATTGAAATTTCATCCATTATTATTTCTAATTTTGTAAATGTAACTAAAGGGAGGAAGTAACGGTTGGTGTAAAGGAGTGTGAAATCATGTGACTCTATTTAGGCTCTCACCTTTTGTCTTTCTTTCACAATACCAAAACACACACAGACACATACAACCATTAAAGTAAACACACACAAAAACCCCTCTTCGATTTCCATCTGTATATTCATTTCTTTATTCTTTCCTTCATCGGATTCTCGTTTCTCAATTGGATTTTTCTTGTGTTCATGTTCCATGGCTGCAAGTGCTTCAAGGTTCATCAAGTGTGTGACTGTTGGTGATGGTGCTGTTGGCAAGACTTGTATGCTTATTTGCTACACCAGCAACAAATTCCCTACTGTAAGTCAGATTATTGGGTTTCTTTTAACTGATTTCCATCTGGGATTTTTCTTAATTTTGCAGCTTTTTTCAAGATTCTTTTCACTTAGGGTTCTGTGTATGATTGATTGTCTGTCTTTCTGTCATGATTTCTTGCTACTTTTGCTTTGGTTTCATCTTTCTTGACTTTGTAGTCTAGTGAATTGGCCTTTTTCAGTTTTTTTTCATATGGGTTATCTTGTTTTTACCATAAAGAATCGAAAAAAGGTGAAACTTTATGCACCATTTAATCAAGATTTCGACCCAAGAATCAAGATTAGCACTTTACTTGAAGTAAATCTCAACTGATTAAACTAATTGGACCTCTCGTTACTTAGGGTTACACACTGTCAGTTATCTTGGCACACAATCCAAGAACCAACGATCTTTATAATTTCCCAGTGATTTATCGAAAAGGGGGTATTTTTAATTTTTAATTTTTAATTTTTTTTAATAAGATTATTGTGAAGAAAAGGATTAAGCATCAACAAAGTCCTTAAAGTCATAAATGGTTAACTACTCCTCGATTTCTTGTAAATTAATTTTGTTGAAACAAATCCTTGCCTGTTTTTTAAAAATTCTGGAAAATTAATTATATGAAATCTGAAAATATTAAATTCGAAATTTAATTTGCGTCACTAGCAAAATTGGTTATTACTACATCGTAGTGATCAAAGCTTGGAACGAATAAACATCCATTATCATATTGACTATAGTTGGAATATCATAATCAAATTTCAACTTTCAAACAATATAAAATGATTGGTATCATTTTAAATTACAATAATGAAGCTTGCTAACAGGCTAACGCATAAACACCCTTTTATATTATCTAATAGGAAGTGTAATGATAAAGATGCTACTCATTTCTTTCGAAACAATTATCATACTTGCAAATATATAAAAATATACAATTATGTTATTTTAATTATATCAAGTAATCCTAATAATGATTTGATGTTAACATAACCAGGACTATGTACCAACTGTATTTGATAACTTCAGTGCAAATGTTGTAGTTGAAAGCACCACAGTAAATTTAGGCCTCTGGGATACAGCTGGTATGCATTTATTCAAACTTCAAATTATTAAATTATCAAGTCCTTTTGTGTTTTCTTAATTTGGGAAATGTTTGTTTCATGAATTTATATAATTAGGACAAGAGGATTACAACCGATTAAGACCCTTGAGTTATCGAGGAGCCGATGTCTTCGTTCTAGCCTTTTCATTGGTCAGTCGAGCCAGCTATGAAAACGTACTTAAAAAGGTGTTTTTACTCAAATGTTAAAAACTCAATTTTCACTTCAATGTGCTTTTGTTACATTAGATTGGATTGGATTGAATTGAACATTCTTTCTTGATGACAAAAGCTAGTCCATGTCCCACCTTTTTTAGTCGGACAAAAATTATAGCTTTTGTCACAGTCCAATCCAATACATACCAAACACAGTAAAATATTGTTTGTTTTGACATGACATATCATATCATGTCAAAACAATCTAATCAGTATCTGATTTTCTATGCTTTATTACTTGATCAGTGGATACCTGAGCTTCAACATTTTGCTCCCGGAGTCCCGGTTGTTCTAGCTGGAACCAAACTCGGTAAATTGCTTTATTCACAATACGCGCAACTAGTTTCTCTACAAAAAAAATGTATAAAAATTCATAATTTGTTTTTTTTAATTATTTTTAGATCTTCGTGAGGATAAACGATATTTAGCAGATCACCCAGGACTAGTCCCCGTAACAACCGCACAGGTACATTTTCTGACACTTTTATTCGCAAATTAATATTTAAATTATAAATTTTACATAATGATCAGGGAGAGGAGCTTCGTAAACAAATGGGCGCTGCATATTACATCGAATGCAGCTCAAAAACTCAACAGGCATGAAAATTTTCAATAAATTTCGTTATTTTAACAATTATCTTTTTTTTAATCATTTTTTTTCTTGAGAACAGAATGTAAAATCCGTTTTTGATGCTGCGATAAGAGTGGTGATCAAACCACAACAACCACCAAAAGAGAAGAAAAAGCCACGACCAGGATGTTTTGTGTTAGTTTCTTCAACTTTTTACAACATAACAAAAAATTAATTAATGCCGTGTCAAAATCGAAAAAAAAAAAAAAAAATGAAAACGCAGTGTCTTTTGTGCCATTTGCCTCTGTTTTGAACCTCATTTATGTGATCATAACTTGAGCTAACTAGTACTTGGTTTTGTTGGGATTGCAGTAACATGTTTTGCAATAAGAAACTTACATGCCTGGGGTAAGACGCATTAAAGATTCATTCAGATTGTAATTTAATGATATCAGATCGGCTGTCATTGTTAGTATATAGGACGCAAGCAGAGAAGTATATTTGTTGGATATATAGATCATATATCCATTTCATTTTTTTTTTTATGTGTGTTTTAACTATAACCATTTTGTAAAAAATCTCAACACTGAATAGGTACTTATAATTCGGTTCTTAGATATATATATATTGTTGTTTCTACAGAGAAAAGCATAGGGTAAGTGACAAAAGGGTGTCCTGAATTTATCGCTGATAAAAGTTTATGTTTCTTGATAAAAACAAAAAATGGTTAACTAAGTGGAGTATTATTACATATACTAGCGGTTAAAATTGATAAACATATGTATTTTTTTTTTTTTTTTTTTTTGTTCTGTTCTGGTTTGGTTCATTTTCAACTTGATAAACATATTTATTGCTTCGTTCAATTAAAAAAGTATACATGTTATCTAGAGGAGGCAGTCGCACATGTTGGACAACAACAAATTGGGAAATAAAAACGAGTAAATTATTTTATATGTTTGGATGGGTTTAGTACTTTAGTCAGCCCTGTCCAAGATCGGGGACAAGTTGGACTTGAATCGGCTTTTCTTCCCCACTTTCTATCCGTGTGATTTCTTTTCTATAAAAACAACCAACTATATTTGCTATTATGTCACATACGTATACGTATATAAAAAAGAGCTCGAAAAAAGACCGGGTTCGAGATCGATGTGAAACCTGTTGAAGGCCACCAATGAGCACCTCTAATCAAACTTATAAAAGGAGATAGAGTTCCTATTGTAGGCTGCATCTAACATAGAGGTGGGCAAAATAACCGGTCCAAAAATAAGGTATATGAACTGAAGAGGTTGAGGACTAGTTCCGGACCGATTAGTCCATCAACAGTCCGGACTAAAAGCCTAATATTGTCCTTAAAAATGAATTCATAGCAGTCCTAGACCACTCCTAAAACCAGCCCCACAACGAACCGTTCCTAGAATGAACCAATCCAATCTTTGAACAGAGTCGTCCAACCGGTCCTAGGCTTCAAAAAGTGAAAACTAGAAGTAAAAGCCTAAGGTTGCGTTTAGTTACGGAAAAACAATTTTCATTTTCCGTTTTTTGTTTTCCTTTTTCGATTTTCGTTTTCCGTTTTCATTTTTCATTGAAAAATTTAGAAAACGCGTTTAGTTAAACTTATTCATTTTTCATTTTCAATTTTAGAAAACTAGAAAACGTGTTTAGATGTGTATTTTTCTATCGGTTTTTATTTTTAGAAAACGGTAATAGTGGTAGGGTATGGGTAGGGCGGTGACGGTAGCGGGTCGACGGCGGTGGTGTTGATGACATGCAATGGTGGTGGCGGCGGCAATTGTGTCAGTGGTCGTGATGGAGGCGGCAACGATGGTGGTGGTGCTAGTGATGGGTTAGTGGTGGTGGTGGTGGTAGGTCGGTGATTGTCGTGGTAGTGTTGGGTGGGTGGGGGTGTGAGTGTGTGCTTGTGTGTATGTATGTGTGTGTTTGTGGGGGTAGGTGTAGGTTTGTGTGTGTGTTTGTGAGGGTGGGGTGGGTAGGTGTGGGTTTGTGTGTGTGTGTGGGTGTGTATGTCTGTGAGGGTGGGGGTGGGGTAGGTGTGAGTTTGTGTGTGTATGTGTGTGGATGTGTGTTTGTGGGGGTGTGGGTGGGTATGTGTATGAGTGTGTTTGTGTGTGTATGGGTGCGTTGGTGGGTATGTATGTGTGTGTGTTTGTGGGTGGATATGTGTATGTGTGTTTGTTGGTGGGCGTGTGTGCAGGTGGGTGTGTGTGTGTGTTTGCGGGTGGGTGTGTGTATGTGTGTGCGGGTGTGTGTGTTTGTGGGTTGGTGTGTGTGCGGGTAGGTGTGTGTGGGGGTGGGTATGTATGTGTGTGTGTGAGGGTGGGTATGTATGTGTGTGTGTGGGTATGTGGGTGAGTGTGTTTGTGTGTGTGTGTGGGTGCGTTGGTAGGTATGTATGTGTGTGTGGGTGGGTGGGTGGGTATGTATGTGGGGTATGGTGTGGGTGTGGGTGTGTGGGTTGGTGTGTGTGTGTGTGCGGGTGGGTGTGTGTAGGGGTGGGTATGTATGTGTGTATGTGTGTGTGTGTGTGGGGGTGTGTGGGGGGGGGTGTTAAGGTAGGGGTAAGTAGAGGTGGATGAGGTGGAGTGAGTGTGTGTTTATAGTTTAGAAAAATTTTGAAATTAGAAAAATATGGAAAACAATGATTATCAGTTTTCCAAAAATTTCCAACTTCTTTGTAATTTTAGAAAACGGAAAATTTTCATTTTCCGTGAAAAATTTAGAAAAATAGACGTACTAAACGTGTTTTCAAAATTCTTATTTTGTTGGAAAATTTTTCCGAAAAACGATCCATTTTTCTGCAACTAAACGCACCTTAATATTCTTGGAAGCCCATTTAACCAACACGCCTCCAATTAAACAATTATTTTGTTTCAAAACTTTGCTTTTTCTTTACACAATCAATGTTGGACAAGTTCACCTTTCTTTCTTTCTTTCTTTCTTTTTTTTTTTTTTTTTTTTTTTTTTTTTTTTTTTTTTTTAATCTCTAATACTAAATTTAATCAACAACTACAAATTATAAATGATATTTCTTATTTTTCACTTATTTGCTTTCGGCAATAACATCACAAATTCATAAAGGCTACGCAAACAAACAGCCATGATCTTTTGATAACCGCTATATATAGTTTTACCTTATAAATATCCATTCATATCCAACCATTTTCTCATCTCAAATTTTGTCTCTTTCTCAAAATGTCTCTAAATTTACAATACAAAGCTTGATGTTTTGAATGAAATTGGTCCTTAAAAAGACCGATCTGAAACCGAACACGAAAAAATCCGAAATTGAACCTGAAAAAAATCCAAATTCAAACCGAAAAGACCGGTATCGAACTAGTTTAAAGTGAAACCGATCTGAATTATAACATCCTCACTCCTAAGTATAAATTTTTAAAGCTTTTATATTCATAATCATAGACCTTGGCTACCCCAACTCGTCGTGTAGAGACTGATCAGGCCGCGTGGTTTATGGAACCAACTCGATGAGTTGGAGGACCCAACTCGACGAGTTGAGGCTGTGTATGGAAACCCTAATATTTAGGGGTTTGCACCCTATTTAAAGGACCTTAAGTCCTTTTTCCAGCCTCCATAGCACCATTCACCTCCAGATACAAACCCTAATCGAGCTAATCTCCTTTTGAGTGTGTGTCAGGCTAAAAGAGTGTGTGTTTGTTGCATTTCTTGAAGAGGCTTGAGGATTGAGAAGCTTGGAACGAGAAGGAGCTTGTGGATCCAACATCTACATCGTTTTGGCATTCTTTTGGAGGTAAAAAGTCATTACCTTGATCATTTTATTGTTAGATCTTTTCATTCAAGAGTTTAGGGTCATTTCTACCTTATTCTTGAAGCATATATGGTTTTGAGCATGATTTGAAATTGTAACTTCAGACCTGGACTCTTCTAGGCCCTCATATACATTAATCCTCAAGCTTTATGAAGCTTTGGCCCTTCTTCATGCCCTAAACCTCTTCCTAAGGCTATTTTTGAGTGTTTTAGCTTCTTGAAGCCTTGCATGCACGAAAAGTTAGCAACTTTACATGGTAACTACACCCTAGGAGCCTACATCTACATTTGGGAGCCTTTTGTAATTAAATGGTGTTTTTGAATGTTTGAAAAAGTTTTAAATTTGCATGAATTTTTATGAATGTTACAAGTTGGAATTAAAGCCTTGTGTAACATCCAAAATTTCAAACCAATTTAAACTTTTAAAAACATATCAAGTTCATCATAACATTGCAACTTGTTTTCAAAATATTGATTATCAGAGTTTTTCCCAGAAACATAAACACAATAGGAGGAGCTGTACGATCATGCCTTGGCCTTGCCTCGATCCCATGAAGTACCTGAAATAATAAACTGAAACTGTAAGCCCGAAAACTTAGTAAGTTACCCCCAAAATATACACATACAGTCCACATAGCAATATCAATGTTAACATATCATATCAATCAAGATAGAACAACATGCACTGGGTCCACAGTTTTATAAGTTGGACTACCCTTGGGCCCTCAGTACGAGTCTGGAATGCCTATCGGGCCCTCAGCTCGTATCTAGAATGCTCCCGAGTCCTTAGTATGAGTCTGGAATGCCTACCGGACCCTCAGCTCATATCTGGAATACTCTCGGGTTTGTTGGCTACTGCACGGAGCAGTACAACCTCAACCCACCCCACATACCATGTCGACATGTAACAGATAAATGCACATACAGGTAATCAATCAGTATCACATGCAGTCCTACAGATCTACTCGGCTAGCATATCAATTGACATACATTACTGAGTTAACTCAACATATCAATAACTACTAGGATATCAAATCTAATGGGTCGGCCTTGGTGCCTTAGACCCCTTAATATAGTGAGAATGACTCACTTCGCAACTGACGTCAGAAAACTAGAAAGCTTCAACTCCCGGATCACCGACACGAACTTCATTACCTATAATTACCATACAACCCTTTTTCATAAGTTCCCAAATTATCAGAATACCCTCAGAAGTCATCTGATCAACTCTTGGTCAAAGTCAACGCCCACAGTCAAAGTCAACAGTCCATGTTGACTCGACTCATCGAGTGCAGTTCATTGACTTGTCAAGTCCTTCCTGAACTCGAGAAGTCGTGAAATCCTTGACTAGCTCGTCGAGTCTTCCTTTAACTCGCCAAGCTCATATGTGTCCAAGAAACGGGGGAACTTTAGTCGACTCGCTGAGTTTTCTAATGACTCGTCGAGTTCACAGCCAAATTCATCGGGATCGTCGAGTTGTTCATCGAACTCGCCGAGTTCACGGCCAAATTCATCGGGCTTGCCGAGTTTTTCATCCAACTCGACGATTCCTCGCAGACCTCCATTCATGCAGATGCTTTTTAAGCTATGGCAAGGCTCCAAATTACAGATCCAAGCCTCTAAGGCATGTTTATCACGTAAAGTTGCAAACTTTACGCACATGCAAGGTTCTAAAGCCTCTAAATGACCAATCTATGCTTCCAATGGAGTTTTACACCTTAAGGAGAGTATCATTCTTGCACAAGCTGGAAACTTTATGTACTAAGAAGCCCAAAGGAGCTCAGTTATGAAGTTACAACTTCAGATCTGAGGTTGCAAAGAAGAGTAGCTTCCAAACACACTGTGAAAACCCTAGAAGTTGCCCAATATAATGAATGA